ATAATAGATTATACGAGAATTTTTTCACATTTTAGTTCTCGCATGCAACAAATTTTTGCCAAGTGAATCTGCGTTACAAACTTTGTAATTAACAAGACACAAATGAATACATATAAATATAATTCTTTTATAATGAACAGAAATACCGCAGAATTATGAATTTTCCCCTTTGTAACATAACTATTATTTGTGTAATAAATAATTTCTATCACAGACCTCAAGAATCAATATTTTAACATGAAAAGTTTAGTAGACGTTGGAAAAAATCATCTCAAAAAGGAAAATAGGCTAAAGTGGTGATACTTACTTTTTAAAAAATATCCAGGTCTTGAATTTTGCTCTGGAAGTCACGCAAAAATAATAATAAATTTATCATATATGTTGAATATACTTTAATTTATTATATGAACTCCTGTAGAGAAAGGCAGAAATGCCCAAAAGCTCGAGGTTGCCTTAATAAAATGCAAATAAACTCATCTCCATAAACCTGTTGAATTATTTAATAAATATACTTTATCTTAATCCATAAAAAGTATAAAAAATATGTCAATAGAGTGTATAAACTATTACGATATAAGTTGAATTTACTTTGGATTTGTAATAGAGCTAAGTTTTTTTGAATGATCCTAAAATGTGTAACTTCTATTATTTCTGGTATAATTAGAAAATATTTCAAGAATAAAAAAATAGAGAAATATTTTAGGCTCTCGTCTCGTCCCTTGCCTGCAGAACCACATAAAGAGAATGGGAAGAGCCATGAAGATCGACTCCACAGAGTTACCCAGAATCTGCTGAAATGCCTGCCCGCCACCCAAACAGCTCTCTATAAACTCATTGTGGCCTTCCATACTCAAACAAATAGCGCTAAATGAGTTTCCATCTGGCTTCCATCAACGTTCGCGGGCTTCCCCTCGCGAGAAGAGCATCGAGCTCTGCCCCTTCCTGAGCCAACATTTCGTGGATAACGCTTCGTCCAGTAAACCAATGATTCGTTGCTAGACGCCATTCAATATATTTTCCTAGGCTACAGCGCCGCTGACGTGCCCCCTACATCCATCAGGGGTTCGGGGCGTCGCCTGTGTCGTCTTCGCACAAGAGTCGCTGTCTTGCAGTAGCGGGTCCTATGGCCCTGCCACATTTCTACCGTCTCCATAGGCGTCCACGGCCAGGAAGTGAGTGTTATCACCTCTCTCATATTCCTCGAGAGCGGAATCAGAAGCTTCATATCATCGCAGCCGCCGCGGTCCAGGAGAACTCGTAGGTGTTGGGCGACTTCAACATCAGCGAGAAGAGCATGAACGACACAGCGTCCGGCTCGGTGGGAGCTGCTGGATCAGACAGCCCTGGTCGATGCGGCCACCTTCATCAACGCCGCCGACATTCCAACCAGAGTAGCAAGCTATGGGAGATCGGCGGCTGACACGTCTTGCCTGGACAGGGTTCTTCTCTCTTCGAGGTTCGTGGATCTTGTCGCCCATTATAGTACGATCCACTACAGGCTCTCGGACCATAGAGCTGTCCTTCTCCAGCTGGACGTACTTCCTACACCTCGCCAATCTTGCGCTGCCGCCATGCTATGCTTGGGGCTCGTTGTCGAACATCTGGCAGCGATCATCAAAAGATCCTCCACAACCATCGTGGATATGGTCATCAAAGATATACGGAGCCAGCCAGTCGTGCGACCCCAACGCCGCCTCATTTTTCATCCAGGGGACGACGAATTCCCTCATCCTCGAAGGGGATGAGCCCTTGCTCCGCTCCGAGATCTCCGCGGCAGAGATCGCCTCCGCCATCCGCCGCTCGGAAAGGTCCCGGGGTGGAACAACTCGCCCTGCGAGTTCTATATCGCTTAAGAGAAATTCTTTGTCGATGCTCTCAAGCGCGTCTTTGAGGCCTCCGCAGGACCTTGCCTCCATCGACGCGGCGCAGCACCATTTACCTGGTCTCCAAGTTTCACTGCGGTCCTGGGCTCTGCGGCTACAGGCCTATCTTGATTCCCACTGCGTCCACCGCGTCCTGAGGAACATCCTCCTCCGGCGTCACGGCCACATCTCCCGTCCTGGTACCTCAGTGCCAGACAAACGCGGTTCCCGGAAGGTCCCCTTCTCGGAACATCGCGTGTATGTGCGACGAAGTCGACGCTGTTATGAAAAGCGGCATGCCGCTGGCCGTCATTTGCACCGACCCCGAGTCGGTCTTTAACATCTTAGATCGCGGCTTCTTGGTGTCCCTAATGTTCATGCCACCGGTTTTCATCGGGTGGTTTCTCCTCCTCTATGCCGGGGCGAGGCCTCCACACCAGACACTTGCAGCTTCTGAACGGTGTGAGACAGGGCTGCGCCATTCAGCTTCGCCAAGGGTTCTCTTCTACGTCGCCTTGAGCAAGAGCTCGGTCCCGGGAATGTCCCTGCCTACGCCGACGACATCGTCCCGCTCATCCGCAACGAGGATGGGTATAGTGACCTCTATCTTCGAGAACTTCCGGCGCGCCTCGAAAATAAAGAGAAATTTCACCAAGAGCAAATGTCTATGGTGAGGCGCCTGGCATGCCCGAAACGACGCTCCACTAGGCATATCCTGGTCGTCGGTCGAGCTGAAGGTGCTAAGCTTCAATGTGACGCTGACAAAATAAAATTTCGACCAAGAACAACATCTCCTGGCTCTGCTCGAGGCTGCCATAGCAAGGTGGGCCTCCTACACCCGCTGCCTCACTCTCGTCGGCAAAGCTAGAACCGCTAACTCCTTGGTACTATCCACGGTGGTCAATCACATTCACGGCTTCCGATCATACCATTCATAAGATCCAGACTCGGCTTGCATGGTTCATCTGGAGGCCGGAGTGAACTGCCTGGTTGCCCGGCAGCTTCCTGGCAAGGCCAGTCTCTCAAGAACGGCACGTAGCTCTATCCCACTCCATCCGGGTCCTGGCTCCCGCCGCGGCGTCTCAGGCTGCTTAAGATTTGTGAGGCGGTTGGTGACATCCTCGCGTTGGACTACCGCGCGTTTGCACCGTCTCATCTCTCTAATCTCCCCATCATTGGCAGCTGACGTCTTTTCCGGCCTCCCGACCTTCTGGCTCGTGCCCAGTAGGCCGGCACCTGCGTTGGGGCGGCCCTGCCGCTCCCCTTACTCGGCCAACGCGCTGCGTCCTGGATGATGCCACATCGCTGACCAGCTTCTGCCGTCGTCTTATCAACGAAAATCTGTGCGGGACCTTCCGACCCATCATCCAGTTCCCTAGAAGCTGAGAGGATCTAAACCTCACATCAACATCGGCTGGTCTTCGCTCCGGCGATGCGCTTTCTCCGGGCACAACGCGGACTTGGCGATAAACGCCTTGCCCCATCCTGCCCACACTGCTTCGGCCCGACATTCCTGTGTTGTTTGTGGGTCCAAAGACCTGTCGCGGGCTCATCAGTACTGTCCTGGTGTTGTTCATACCTCTCATCCAGGCCTTCACCACCATCCAGCGGCCGCCAGATCTACAGGTCTGAATCATCGGGCGTGGCCTGGCCATCCTGGCGTCTGCTAAAACCCGAACCGGAGGGTTCAAGAAGACCCGCTCCTTATCTGGAGGAGGACTCTCTCAAGGTGGGGGAGTCTCTCTCGCTGAAGAAATTTGTGCATATTACTATTTGTGTAAATGTTTCCATTATTTTTTTGTTTTATATTTTTAAAACCATCATATTAAAATAACTGTTTTTAACAATAATATTCTTATTTTTTTTGAAAGAAAGCACAATAAATAGTGTCCAATAATTTAAGAAATGCTTTGGAATTTATTTATAAAGAAATCTTATAAATCAAATGATTGTTACACAGATGAATGAGGATGATTTAAATACAATGAGACAGGTATATATTGTATATAATCTAATGATGTGTTTGATTATTATGTAATAAGGTAAGAATATAATATGGGTTAAAAGTGCGAAAATGGAACCTTCATGTATAAAAAGATACAAATAGAGCTAGCAAAAACGAGGGATAAATATTAAAAATGAATCTTTTAAAGCACAGATTTTTTCTAATAAAATTCACACCTCCTACTGTTCTTTACTTCTATTAAAATATATATTTATAGGGCTTAGCTCATCAGCGATTAACCTCTCCAGCGGTTTCGCGTATTTATTCTACCAGACCGTTTCTTAGAACTCTAATACTGGATTGGACGATTCTGCTTATATATTCTACACTGGTGATGGAATCTTCTTTTACACATAAAACAAACTTTAATGTATATGTAATTATCCCAATATTATAACCTCTTTTAATTATATTGGCCTAAAAGCATATATCCATAATTTGCTTGAATACCATTTCTAAGATTCCACCCTTCAATGTAGCACATATAAGCAGAATCGTCCAATTACAGTATTAGAGTTCTAAGAAACGGTCTGGTAGATTAAACCGCTGGATGGCAGCAAATACAGATGATACGGTACCTGTCGTTAAGAGGAGGTCTCTCTAGATGCCGAGGTATAGACTGGAGTCCGTGGCAGCGAGGGATTGTTCCAGACCATCTACACAACCAGATCCTTATGGTCTCATCATATTCTTCCATGGTCCCATATAATCAGAACACTTAGTAAAATACCTCATTCAACACTGCTATTGGGGTAAAAATAGTTTTATGGTTAATTAAAAATATTAATTACTAATGTAATTTTTTATTTCAACATATAGATTAAAGCGGAAAAAATATTTTGTGCTGTTTGTTGTTTTGTGCTGACTATTCTTTATAGTTCCATTTGTCCAATAAAAAAAGATAGTCTACTTGGCTTATCAGTGGCGAACTCTCTCACTAGTTTCATCAGTTATTCTACCAGGCCATTCTACTATATTATCAAAACACTCATACCCCGTATTAATTACACTTTCCTAATCGTTGTCTACAATTTCTTAATTTTTAAGAGGAATTTGAGATAAGCTCTGAACTTGGGTGACATTGGCGGGTAAATAATTATATATTGTTTTATAATATTTGATGGTTTTGGTTTACAGTATTTGAAATTTGAAAACATCGGTTCTCGTCCGATCACCAAAGTTAAGCAATATCGGGCCCGGTCAGTTCTTGGGGAGGGTGATCATGGTGCCATGATCAACGAAAGCTACATACCATTCCATGAGATCAGCTCGAAGAGCATGAATATCATAGAATTCGTGTAATCTTTGCACAAGAAGATAAGAAACAAGAACAACTAAAATGACTTCAACTTGAAATAAAATATACTTATCACAATACGCTATAAAAAATCTCGCTTACAACACTTTTTCCATTTTGGGCGATATTTATTTGATATAAGTTGATAAGCGAGATAAATAGCAATTCGATGAAATTCCACATTTCCTGATAATGGCCAGTTATCACTAGGCCTATAGAAAACAACAAATCACTTTTGTTTGCTTGTGTTCTCCCCATGTTATGATTTTATTAACAGTTAAACATTTTAATCCGACCAAGTTGTTTTATTTTACCTCAAATCAAAATATTTTTAATCGCGCTGTTTATAAGGAATATAAACAAAGTCGGTTGATAAGGTTATTGTTATTTAAAAAAAAGTAACAAGAGAACAACAGTCTTGATTTCCAGACTTAAGTCTGGTCATCAACGGACAATGACTTTCCAGAATGGTTGCAGGGTTTTCCCACTATGTACTAAGTGCAATTCTCAGCCTGCAACCCCAAGACATATTATTGACTGTATTGACTCATTCATTGATGGGCTCTACTCTTCCCCGGCAGACACCATCAAGAGTCTCAAGCTTTACAAGCTTGATACCTTAGTGTGATTGAGTGGAGATAGAAAGAAGAAGAAGAAGAAAAAAAGTAAGTAGACGAATAATATTAAAACAAGAGATTAATAAAAAAATCACTTTAAAGATATTTAATGAGTTTTGGTTGCTTCAGTGTGATGACTAATGAATAATTGGGGGTTATAAGATTGAGAAGTGTATAACGAGTAATTTTCTTAATTTTCATTTGTGCAAATGCTGTTGGAACAGAAAAAAAATGAAACCTCCTGTAATATATATGCAAATTAAAAAATATGTTTTATATTTTATAAGAATATATAAAAATGATTCTATCTTGGAATTACCATTCACAGCTAAAGATTTGGATAAACCGGAGGGAGATTTCTCTAGTGTGGCTTATAGAGTTGGACTTCGAAATGGAAAAACAAAAGATACTTTTGTTAATTGACGATTGACTAGTACATGTAAAAAAGTGCCGAGTAATTTATCATCATATGAGTTTTTTTTCCCTATCAAATGTAACAAGTTAACACCAACTATTAGATCAAGGAGTCTTCTTATTTCTTATCTCCACTCAAGCTTGACCCAGTCAGATCAAGGAGTGATAAAAGCCACTAAACAAATTTATCACAGGGGCAATCGAGCAGCTGGGCATTAATTGATATTGACAATCCTGAAGCAATAAAGCCTTTCTGTAATTAAATACAATTTATCAATTAGGAGAATTACAATAATTTCTTAATTCGTTTCAAATGGCAAGCTTTTAAGCGTCAGTTCATGTTCTTCATTATGTCACAGCTGTGTGGAAGGACGTCACAATATAGAATTTTCTTAAGAAAACAATTATTTACCCAGTTTATGAAACGTCTCCGGATATCTCAATTGAGAATGATGAAGATAATGAAAATATTGGTAGAGAGAATATCACCTTCCAAGATTTTCTTAAGCTAGACAATGACCTTATTACAAGTCAATACCTCCTGTATTGTTAAGTATGTTTGAAGTCTTATACTCCTGGTAGAGCCACCCTAGACATGAAGGCTGTCTTACTAAGCCCAGTTAAATGTTAACAGCAAAGTCATATTCCTGCCTTTGTGTGTCTCAGATGTTCTCATCAACAGAAACGCACCTAATTACTCCGTATGAACAATACTCTTATCAAGAGAAGAGTGGACTTCTAGACATGGTCAAAGGAGATAAGCATCCGTCACAACAAATCTAACCTGATATAGCGGATGAGACAGTTTGACCCAGTAACAAGATTGCGAAAGAAGAAAGTGAAGATGGCAGACGATCCTACACCCCGACTACAAATATTTAAAGTTGTAGAAACTCTTTAGATGTTACTTTTCATTGCTTTATCGTGAATCTAACGATATATTTCGAAACTTCTATCTAATGGGGAAAATAGTATGTATAAATTTTTACTCCAAATCTTCATCAAGCAAGTATTAACGTCTTTTTAAAGCCTAGATTATAGGTTTAATTTTCTCATATAACTAGTTTTTTTTTTTATAGAGCAAAGAAAAAAAAAAACTTCAAACACACACATTTTTTTTAAATAACTTTTTTTTAATACATATTTTTTTGATACCTTTCCAGCTTGGCCAAGTCGCCAAAAGAACGGTCTAACGAAGTGTTTCACTGTATTTTATAAATCTAGGCATACATTTTGTGTGCATGTGTGTATGTGTAATGAATGCAAAGTGCTGGATGAAAATAAATAGTCACCTTTTAATTAATATAAAAGTAGGGTAAATTACAATTAAATTATAATATATTATTTGTTATAATAAAGCTCTATATATAGTGATATAACCGATCGAACACAGAACGCTAACTAGCCATTGGGTTTTTATTATGATGACTCATCACCTAATTATCAATATTTATAAACAATGCGTGATTTTTATTGAGATATATCCTTTTTAATTTGAGAGCTCAAATATGATAGTCTCAATGGTTAAATATATAGTTTATTATTATAATCCAGGGTTACATCAATATATCACTATATTAATATTAAACATCCCTCTGCTTTTAAATTATATCATAAGGTTGACTTGAAAATAAGGATTGAAGACAATAGAAGATGTGAGATAGAGTTTTATTTTTAGTGTCCATTATAAACTATCTGTATTATTATTGATATGAAAGATGTTACAGAAGTGAAATTGTCAGGTTGATAAATAAAGAGAAAGCCATCTTCTGATCGTGCAACTAAAAGTTGCGGATGGCTTGCACCATCTGTCGGAATATCAACTATCCGTTAGTTTTAATGATTCCAGAATTGACCAAATAATCTTTCTCTTATTATTGTTATTATATATGTCACAGGTCACATCGTTCGGAAGAGATTAATGGATTCGCCGAATGTCGTGGTCCATTTGGAAGAGGAAAGCGAAGACTAGAACGTGGCTGATTCCACACTTGCCTTTACAGTGATACGCTAAACCTTGATGTATGCACGGTGGATTCTGTGGCCACTGGACATGCATCGGACCTGGAGACTGTTGTTGGGTTCTGTGTTGCCTGGAGTATAGGAGCTCCATCTTCCTTCCTGCGGTGAATTTGTATAAGATCGGTGGTCTTAATAAAGCTGTATGTGTGTGTAATATTATATATATATTACTACGCCTGGGTTAATAAAACAATTATATATTTTTAATGAATTTTTAATTTTTCTTCCCCCCCCCCCCCCCCTCCTCCTTTTAAACTCTGACGGAATAGCTGAATAAGACTATGTTTTAATGTGAATTTATAATGCGATATATTTATATATTAATTTTATTAATTCTATAGTTCAATTCAATCTTTACTTTTCAAGTCAACCTTGTGATATAGTTTTTAAAAAAGCAGAGGTTTAATATTAATATAGTTATATATTGATTTAACTCTGGATTATAATAATAAACATATATTTCATTATTGAGCTATCCAAGTTAAAAACATATATCTCAATAAATTATTCATTGTTTATATCTTGCATAATTAGGTGATGAGTCATCATAATAAAACCCGTCTATTTGGCCTTCTGTGCTCCATGAACCTGGTTTTATATCACTATATAGCTCTATTGTAACAAATAATATATTATAATTTAATTGTAATTTACCCTACTAAAAAATTAAAATGTGTTTATAGAGAGCATTATGAAGGTAACCAAAGGGGAATCTTCTTTCTAGCATCGTGGACATCTGTTTTCTCTAGATATAGGTTGTAGATAAGATAATGTTGTTGCAGTGAAACAGATAGAGAGAATAACACTGATCTATATATGGTTTCACTCTATCCTCCAACATTTACCCTGTGGTTCTTTTTAGCCTTAGTTTTCAAAATGATAAACCTAGCCTCAAAATAAAAAGTGAAGAAACTTAATTGTATCAACAACAAAAGCCTTTATTAGGGGCACTCGTCCATACAGGATTCTCATAGATAGGTAAATTGAAGCAACATTATATGTATCTACAGAAAGTGTAGAACAACATCAATCTTTCCTCAAGTTGGAGCCCTCTTCTGTGTTACGCCTTTTCACTCTTCTATGCTTTAATTGTACCAACTTAAACCAAAACCTAGCTACCACTCATGCCCCAGTTAACCCTCACATGCTTATCTGTATATTATTAATATTACAATATACACCTATCCCCCGATTTACACGGTACTTGTTTTACACGTTTTCGCTTTTACACGGTTTTCCAAATAAGTTTTTTTTTGTTGTTTTTATCGCACTATACTAAATGCTACTGTGATTGAACACATGCGCTGTGTACACATCTCACGAGGAATCCCGAGCTTATGTGCTGACTACATATTTTAACCTGTCAATGCATTTCATTTTTATTTCTGTGTACACCTATCCCCCCGATTTACACGTTTTTCTCAGGAACGTATCTACCGTGTAAATCGGGGGATAGGTGTATACAGAAATCTGTAGAACCATTTATAACTTAACAATTTGTAACAATTCTTTTTTGGAAATGTGTTTATTTTTTAATAATATCACCAAATATTATCTCTACAAACCTTACTGCAATGATAAAAGTCATTGAATGAGAGGGTTTGGATCATTAGTGGTGAACCCTCTCAGCGGTTTCGCCAAATTAACCTCTAGACCGCTTTACTATTGTATTGGATTGGTTTTATTATATAACCTGCATTTACTAAGGAAGGCAGCTTAGGGGTGTTTAGGGAATATATGAACATAAGCTTATAGGTCTGTAGAAGTGCATACATATAATTTCACTAAATTGCATCGAGTAAAGATTTTCTGAAAATATGGTTTTATATCAAAGATATATTAAAAAATTACATTTGCTATGTATCATAAATATTTGCAGAGAGTTT